GGTCGATGATATAGATATAGATATAGATATAGATATAGATATAGATATAGATATAGATATAGCTAGACATAGACATAGATATATAGATATAGATAAAAAAGCAGTATAATTAATGGCATGATTTATATTTATAAAAAAATCTCAGATAATGCCTTAGTGTAAAGTATCTCTATTTTAAAACTATACAAATGTTTAATCAATTATAAGGCAATGAGGCCTCACTTGGTTATTAATTACTTAAATTATTATGCAAACAATACATATTGGTGATAAAATTATTTCATCATTATTCATTTGTGAAGATCACAAAATAAAAGTCATAATTGGAAGAAAATGAAAGAGCAAAATGCACTTATAATTTAAAAAGTGAATTTCTTTTGTAAACCATATTTCAATACAAACAATTTCTCCCAGTAGATTTTATTTCAGTTTCTAAAGTATGAAAAAACATTTCAGGATTCAAGACTTTAAATTTTTTTATTGAATTTATTAGGGTAACATTGGTTAATAAAATTATATAGGTTTCAATTGTACAATTCTATAATGTGGGATATAAAACTGAAAACCATAGATACAGACAACAGTATGGTGGTTACCAGAGGTAAGTGGGTGACGGGTAGTTAAGAGTATAGGAGGCGAGGAGGAACCTGGCTATGATGGTCACATGAACACTGCCTCCGTGTCATTCCTTCTTCGCTGACTCCGTCCACACCTTGGGGAACCCCTGGACCTGCTGGGGCTGGACCCCAACATATGGCGCCTCAAACAGGATTCCCCTAGCGGACCCAGAGGGCACAGCTGACTCCTCCCCGGAAACCACCACCATCAAGCACGGCCCTGATGGATCCTTTCATGCAGCCCTTCAACTCGCTGACGCTTCGGGAAGCCCTTCGCCAATGACGCTGCCCGCTAGCCAACCAAACCACCGACTTGGGGACAGCTGAAATCCCTTGACTGAAGAGGCCAGCAACCTTCTACAGGAACAAGGCTCCTTGTGCACTCCATCCACTATCTTTATAGCTATGCTTGCT